TTTGCATTTTTGAGAAACAAACTACATTTTAAAGTGATTTTGCTCATTTTCACTCCTGCTCTTCAGCATTCTTTTCTGTTTGATGTGGGTCTTCAGCAGAATTACTGCTCTCTCCTCTCTCCTACACATCATTTGTTCAAGGTAGGCTGCCCAGGATGTGGCACTTGTGCCACGTGTGGGTCCGTGTCTAGTCACTCCCCTTTAAACCCTGTTCTAGAAATGTGCCTTTTAATTTGACCTATGCAAGCAAATTGCCTACATAAGTAACACTGACACATTTTTATGAGGGAGCAAAACATTTTGCAGTGTCACTGAAGTTTATGCGAAGCAACACAATATAGATGGTTCCCTCACATGGAGAACTGCTGAACAAAAGCTGATGAAGTGCAAATGTCAAGAAAAAGTCTTCAAACCAGACCTTTCATTTTGCAACACAGCAGTGACAGTTATTAACACCATCAATCAGGCCGGAGCTATTGCTTTGGCACAGACTCATGCCTGCTGGGACTGACATCAGCTTGAGAGCAAGGCCATGGTTTCAGGCTAAGAGAAAGCTCTTGGGATTCATTTTCTGTTTCCTTGCAAACGTTTAGTCTCTTCATTCACAGGGAATGTGCTCAAGATTGGTTTACGCTGCTCCCAAAAACTAACTGCAAAAATATAAATGACTCGAGGTTCAGAGCGGTGGAAATTCAGCCCACATATTTCTCATGGGAGGAAAGATAGGAGGTGAAATTGCAAGATGGTAGAAATACCTGCTCATTCCCTCCTCGGCTCTCACCAAAGCAATGGAAGCAGAAGAGAAAGAAAGCTTACTGCTCAACCGGAGCTGAAATACGTTTCCTTTGACACAACACCTCCCACCATGTTAGTATAACTTTTAGGAACGCTGGATCTAATGAAGTCCAGTTTCCTAAGGACTTGTGTCTCATGGCTGCCTGACTTGGGAGTTTAATAAAATCCAAGCACCAAACAAAGCTCTTCCTGTGAATGGGGTATTTATTAGATCCTGAGTGGATTCTCTAGAGTTTAATAAAAGAAAGCCCGTGCTGCAATATTTCCTTTTGAAAGGGCACTTTAGGTCTTTCTCCCGTAACTGGTTTAATATTTTGTATGGGACTTGTAGGAATTTAATTGCTGTGAAGGCAATTTTCCTCTGCAAATTTGTTGGAAATCAGCCAAAGATTCTGGTTTGCTGTATATTAGTGAGCTGAATATTTACGCTCACAGATTGAGGGAACACTAGCAGCTCTTCTTGATATTCTTGAAAAATGTTTTACCTTAAAAGCTTAGCCCTTGTTCATGTGGCAATATTCAGAGTTCTGGGGTAGGCATTTACAAAAAGGATGACGAGCTCTACAAAGGAAGATACTGGATAGCTGACCTTAATGTAGGCAACCACCAAAATTTTGGCACCCATGGTGAGTGCTGAGTACATATACATGTGTAAAGCATGTTCACAGATCTGGTTAAGACATGCAGCTTTCTTTAGATGGGCTTCTCATTAACAAATGAATTGCACTGCGCTGAGAAGTCACTCAAGCTAGCTTTGCACACGCAGAAACAGAACTGAGGAGACCAGAATACCATATAAATACCTCAGCCTAACGTCCTGTTCCTTCTAAATTCAGATTAACACCCTCAGAGTGAAGTATGAGATCAAAGCAATTAGTCAAAGCTGGGTAGCTGATTTGCCACAACTCATAATCTTTTCAACCCCAGCTGTCCTTACCCCCACCTCTATCAGTTATGAATACAAAATTCTCTCTTAAGAATGAGAAAGCACTGAATAACAAACAGAGAGTGATTAGAAAGATGTGTTTCTGTCAAACCTGATATTGGAATAAATGATTAAACACTTTCATAATCAACTCATATATTAAAGTGAATGCCTTAAAGTGAAAGCATGTCATTTATAGTAGTTTTCACAACAGGCAGTTATTCTATGTGTTTACTTCAAGAGTACATTTTAGTATTTCAGTAAATCAAGATATATTGATTTTGAGCAAGTTGTTGATTTTATTGTCAGAGCAAATTTAGCTTTGAGAATTGATTTTATTTGCCTATTTCGTAAGTCCCACTAAACACACAATTTGTGAGCAACCCACACTCACTTGATGTAAATGCCACTTGTAATTTAGCCAAAAAACTATCTAACTGAAGATGGCCAAATTCATTTTTCATTACTGTTGATGCCAAGCTGGAATAAACTCAGTGGTCTTGCAAGGACACAAAATTATTTTGACTAAGTGAAAACATCCCTTATTTTCTTAGATATAATTTCAGATTAACATGTTTGACTTCAATGGGGTGTGATTATTTCTCAGTTTTCTGGTTATCAGCAACAATTTTGAAAAAAAAAAACACCATCCTATCAAGTCAATTTGATAGAGCTACTTTTCAGAACACGCATTCCGGGTATTCATTTAGCATCTATGCTTTACAAAATATGTGAAAATACTCAACATTCTGGATTTTGTGAAAAACTTCAGTAAAAAGAATCTGTTAGGAGCCCACAAAATAAATGTTCCAAACAAGAAATGCTTCCTTAAGCAACATGTACATCTATGCTGCAGACTGCTAGCAGCGTTAGTTCACCTACCAGTGACAGAGAATTAGACAGCAATTACTACTGCAGCTTACTTTGCTGCTTTTTAGGTTTAATTTAATGGCTGATTTAATATGCCATCATTTATTTTGTTGTTTCGAATATTCACTGACATGCATTCTCAATTTATCTGAAGATTATCTCACTGTCTGTGATAAGGAAGTATCTCCATTTCCCAGAATGCTGAAGCCTTTGCAAACTTTTCAGAAATTTGTTGCAACAGAAGCCTGTAGGTGCTGTGAAATGGCAGCACAAGGCTTGTTCGTGGAGAAAGAACTGCCTTTCTGCTTCTGTGGAAAGAGGGCCCTATCCCAGCAGAATGCCCATGCCCAAAAAGCAATACAAAGAAGAACTTGCTTTGTGAATGCATCTTCTTATCTATGATACTGCAGAAGTTGTTTCTCTTTCTCTCTATGGTATTGGGCCTGTATTACCTTGTACTAAGGTAAATCTGTTTCCAGCAAGTAGCCAGCCCACCATAAAACAAGATTTTAGGGGACAGAGCTATGTACAACTTTGGTATGTTTGATTTCAACCTGAAGAGTTTTACCTTTTCAACTTCATTTTCATGTTAAAAAACAAAGCCATTTTATCTCCACATTTGCCAGACCCCCTGTTGCAAGTAATTTGCTAAAGGGTGTTTGTATTTTTTAAAAAGGAATACAAAACCATCAACATGAAGCACTGCATTTCAGATTTGGGGAGGCATTTTGTTACTGAGCAAAATGAGGGAAATAAACCAAAATTTAAAATACACACTCACAAGTTACATGACCAAAAAAGCAGTTATGTGTACAGCCTCAGACGCGTATCACAAGGAGGAGGCAGGGAGCAGACAATGCACCTGGCTCCATTCCATGTCCCTCCGAGATCTCTAATCTGGTTACTGATGCCCCAGGCATTTGTTATGTGTATCCAAGAAGCAAGCAAACGTGCTTCAGGCAGCAGTAAGTTCCATGAAGCATGGCTCCTGCCAGCAGGTCTGCAGCAATGGAGCGGAGAGTCAGTGCCTCCAGCTGCGGAATACTGGTTGCTTCAGTGGGTTCCTGCTCATCATCTGCAGGACTGGCTATCCTACAAGACGAGGTGCCGGAGCAGAAGTCAAGGTGCCCAGAAGCAACACGTCCTTCAGACAACTACTAGGCTAGTTTAAGCTTGGGCTTAGCACAGCAAACTCAACTGACCCTGTTGTTCTGCTTTACATAGAACAGCTACATATCTACTGAACCAGAGAGTAAGAAGGTATATATTTCATTTCCCTGTCCTGCATTTTCAAATGCTTAGTGACATGTAAAGTGGAACAAGGACACTATCTTCAGTTTTGACCCTAGTAATACGATCCTCAGGTGCTGCTGTGACGATAGCACTATATTCCATTGTTTGTCCCTGTGAAATTTGATAAAAATTATCCAAGGCATTGACTCCATATTCCACATGTACGTTTTTACTGCTGTAATTCAAACTCTATTCAGAATCCAGGAACAAGTTCTTACCACTGTTACGCAGTATATTTTAGCTGTGATTTTGCAATTGTGAAAGACTGAGGGAAGAGCAGGGAGAAAATGAAATGCAAAATCAATAGGATGGCTGTTATTAGCTTTCACAGTCCATAATATACCCTCTGTGTGCTACAAGAATGCCTCAAGTTTTCTTCAAGTACTGCTTTTCTGTTTTTCCCCATGTTGAAACTGATTAATTCAGGTTTTTATTGGTATAGGGCAATTCCTTCCTTGTGCTACCTGTAAGGGTGGCTCACTGTCTAGTCAGGAGTACTATTTATGTTTCTTCATGATTATCTAGATATCTTTTTAGTGTAAACTAGAGAGACGGTAAGTGTGCTTTAGTTCAATTTCTTTTACTCTGCCCTGAAAAGAACTGAAAAGCACTTGGAGAAACAGGCTGAAAGGCAGCAGCTTCAGTACACTACTGTTTTGTAATTACATACTGTAATGCTCTTCCGTGACTTAAAACAGACTTAGATGTCAACAGAATATATATTTTTTCCATTTAGCAGTTCAAGCAAATTAGTCTGAATACTGGACTAAAGGAAAGTACTCTAAACATCCCATAAACTCCTAGGAAGCTCTATCTGAAATTAGCTAGCAACTTTCCAAAGCAGCAAATATTCGTTATATACTCCCTACACACTCACATGAAAACTCCTGGATAAAATCAAACACACAGTTTTGCATTTACATAATACACCTTATACATTTATATAATACACCTTGAAATAATAATGTGAATGAAAGATTCACTCCACACTGTGCAGTTCGGAGTTACCTGATTCACCTGGCATATTCTGATATATAATCCTCGTACAAGAAACCAATTTTTCTGTCTCCACAATGTGCAGAAGAGTGACAAAACACACAAAAAAACAGGTGTCTACCTGAGTGATGTCCATTCCAGAGTCACAGCTCAATGGCTGGGTTGATGTGAGGCCGTTGGAACCTATTACTGTTGTGATCACGCCATTCTCATCAATTTTCCGAATCATGGTACCGTCAACAAAATAAATAAATCCATGCTTATCTATAGTGATACCTAGATGAAAGGAAAGGGGGAAAAGAAAGTGTTAGCATTGACGTTTTCTAGATTAAAGAAATATTTCCTCTCCTCTTAAGGCCCTGAAAATCAGATGATTAAAATGAGTACGGCTCAGTTTTTTTCTACCTATTACTTATTTGAGGCTTATTCACATTGTATATGGAAAGATCTTATCCAGACATCTGACTGTCTCTGACTGACAGAAAGAAGGAAAATATAAGGAAGAAACAGAACAAAGCAGCAAATGCTTTTCTTGTCATGTATATAACATAAAATTATGCTCAACAGCTTCATGGCCTTCATCACAGAGCGGGACAAGATCAGCTTTTCGAAAACCTTATCTTGCAGTTGATTTTTCTTCGTTTTCCACTTTCTTAATTCTCATGCAGATGCAATTTTTTGTATTACTGCATTGTGTGACTTCCTGGAGCACCTGAACAAGGAGGAAGCACCAACAGAAAGCAAGAATGACTTCTGCAGTGCAGGGGCTATACGTACTAATGGTACAAAATGGGCTCTGCTTACCAGGTGGAAAGAACACCTGTGCTGCAGAATGTACTGCAGTGTGGTGTTGCCCAAAGCACAGGGTCACCTACTGGAACCAGTCTCATGACAAGAGTGGCTTCAGCAAGAGCTGGTGCTGCTGGGTCTGCATTAGCTCTAGCATCACTACACTGCAAAGGAGAGATGGACCCTGAAACAAACACGAGGGCACTGCAGAGTTCACGGTCTTTCCATGTTTTCTGTATTTCACTAGGGAGACTGGAGCACAGAGTGCTTGCTGCGTCCCACCAGCAGCGTGTGGTGCCTCCCTGTCACAACCCATGCCTGACCCTGGTCTATCCCAGTCTCATATTTTTTCCTCATTCCTCCCTGCATTCAGTATTTGTCAGACGTTTATATATTGCACGAAATGTATGTAGGATCTTTCTTTCCTGAAATGTTGAAATAGCTAGAAGAGCACTTCTATTCATGTCAGGTTTGTGAAAATACTAAACCTGCTCGATTTCTTGCTTTAAACTACTTCATAATTTCCCATTTAAAGTTGCATAACTTGCAATTATAGCAGCTGCTGCGCACAGCCAAGCTATTTTAATAATGAATTTATGTTCTGCTACAGAGAAATGAAAGGCAGAGGGCTTGAACAGATGGTTTGGACAGTGGCTTATATGGTTCTTGATTTTTGTCCCCTGCATTTAGCACAACTGAAGGCTGCATGTTCTCTGAGTTTACAAAATACTTGTCTGCCTGCCAGCTAAGGATAACAAGCAGCAATTCCATGCACAATTATGTAAGAAAAGGAAAGAAAAAAAAATAACTTTACCCCCATCTCCTAGTCCATCTTCCTGATATTTCACTTCTTTATATACATAGCAGCAGTGGTAGCTGAGGGTAGTGGGGAAATAGCGTGGGGGACAGAGGCAGGACCAGGCAGCTGTGATGAGCATCACACAGATCTGTGAGGCTGACAGTCCCTCCAGGCCCCTGGGTACATGTGCATCTGGCAGCTGGAAACGTGTCTGACCTTCAGGCTGCCTCTTACAGTGCTATCACCCAATGGCAGAGCCCCAGAATAAATCACCCATGGATGCTTTTCTAGCAGAGAGCAAGAATAACATCAGCACCAGTCTCTACAGAGGGGCCAGCAGGTTACAAGGGCTTGCCTTTCCCCCATACCAGGCAGACTGATGGCCCTGGTTTCATGACCTGATCTTTGTTTTGTGTCTGCGTAAATGAGAAGGGCTATGTTCACCTCCTTCTACCGCAGTGTGGAGCCACAGAGCAGGGGGAGCTCTTGGTATCTTCTCTTGCTGAGGCAGTCTGCATACCTGAGATCCTTCCTGGGCTCTGCACTGCTCTCAGCAGTGCTGCAAGGTAAAGTTAAAGCGTTAAAGGTTTTCATTAGAAAATGAGAAAGCTGTTAGGAAACCATATTAGGATTTCTTCTTGGATATGAGAAGGTCTCTTCAGATCCAGCCCCGTAACTCTTACAACTTTCTTGGAAGTCTCTTCAAGGCTCTTTCTGATGGAAGGGGGGAAAAAAAGCCTTGCTGTGGAATGGATGGTGTGTGAATGCAGCTATGATTGTTGGAGGTGTTTCTAACCTTCCTGATAATGCCTTATGGAGCTGTGTCAGTTGGTATATCAGACACAGAAAGATGAGCTGAGACTTGCTTTGCTTTTCAGCTTAGCTCATGCTTTGAAGTGAGAAAGCTGATGTAGGTGGGACCTACAGCACAGCTGCTGTGCCTTGGGGCCTGCCTTTGCATGGGCAGCAAGGCGCAGTACTGCTCACCTGGGCTGGATCCATGTCATGGATAACCAAGGCCAGGATCCATCACCAGGGCAAGTGCATCTTGTTTTACGCAATTTCCCTGCAAGCAGATGGCTCTGTTGGCTGCAAACCAGCCATTATGTAAAAGTCAGAAATTAAGCAGAAATGAAGCAAAGCTACTCAGCTGTGTTGCTGAATGGATTTCAAACACTGCCTGTACAAGAAAACCAAAGATTTTTTTGCAATAACAACACACATTTTACTTTCCAGCCATGGCAGAAAGGCAGGCTATCTGCAGGGGAAGTACATATGCCAGTGTGGCATAAACAAGCCCATGTCTTCAGTATTTGAGCAAAAGATGATAAATGCCTAAAGAGGCTTTTATATATATATCATAAAAGATGATAAACTTAGCCTAGTTAGCTAAGTTTCTTCAAGTACTAGCATACAGATGTTCCACAGTGGACCTGTGCTCACTCCTATATACTAAAACAATGTGACTTTGCCTTTTTGAAAAAATTACTTATGCATTTAAAACGTGTTGAGAAATGCCCTGTGTAAGGCATCCATTAGAAAACAAAACACAGGTTTGTGACTCAACTTCCCCAGTTTATTCATTGTTACAGCTGGATTCCATGACGCTTCACCTAATACATACTCCAAGAGCTTATTTTAATTCTTTTCAGGTGTGCAATGTGTAATGTTTAATCACTGAGGAAGTAGAGGAACCACGTGTACGCAATGTGTGATGATTTGCTGCTCTGGGTGTAAGGGCTGTCACTGCTCACTCTGTGCTCACTCTGAGTGGGAACAGTCATTCTTAGACGTTGCTTTGCTTTATCGTTTTAATTCTGCTAACCAACATTTAGCAATGGAGTGCTGCTGGTGTGATCACATGGGCTACGAAGCACCATCACGAAAAAGACAGCAGCAGAAGTTTTGCTCTTTCTGTTTTCTGCACAAAATAATGCTTGGATGGGCTCATTACAGCCATGACGTATGTAGAAGGCTGACTGTTCCATCTCCTATTATGTGCTCTGAGGAGTGATTTTGGTACAGGGTTATTTCTCCTGACAGATCTTAGTGTGCATAGATATGCTATTAAAAATGCAAATAACACTTTGAAAGTTAACTGATCACTTCTGTGTGTAGTTCCCATAGGTATAAATTCAAGATACATATCATATGAATGTTATAGATCTGACCTTTACTTTCACTCTTGAAACTTGGCCTTGCATTGTTAATGGAGCTAAACTCATGGTGGATTTATAATTAAATTTGAAACTACAGATTAAAATTAATACAGCCAGTTCCCAATTAAGACAGATTCTTTCTGCCTTGTGTCATAGACCACAGTCATGTTTTAAGAGGCTTCTTGGGAACAAATCCTTTTTGGAACACAACAGTGAACAACAGCTAGAGCTACCTTCTACCTTCTTCTGAATATTTACTTTCTGCTCAGCTTAAAACTTTGCAAATGATCATTTCACATTGAAAACTTCCAATTAAGCTTCTGAAGTTTATACATGAACATCTAAAAGCACTGGTGAGGACTGATAAAAGAGAATGCCACCTTCAGCCGGAGAAAAATTGTATTCAGAAGAAACTTGTGATTCTCATAAAACTTTTAATAGGAAGAAGTGAATCAAATTGGTTAATTACCATTTTATGGTTGGTAAAAGGGCAAATTACATGCCATCTATTTCTAAACTTCTAAATGTCTCCGGTGCTTTTAATTAAAGCTGCCATCTAGAAACTACTAAAGCAATTTTATGCAATTAGTTATTTATATGTTACCATAATACACCACTCAAAATATGATTCAAATGATTTGCAGTCTGGTGCTTTGTGATCTTTGTCATCTTTACTTCATTACTGTCTTAGTACTAGCGGCAAAATTAACAATTCTTTGTCAGCTGGAACATGACTTCAATACTTGCACTTCACTGTTGTTCTCTTTGGAGATGTGGAGCAGCAGAGCTGAAGCAAACAGCATTTTTAACTATTGACTCCAGAATGTCCTGCTTCTAGTCAGAGACAAGCTGGCTGGGGTCACGCTTACTGCTGACAGTAGTTTGCATAAAGATGAACAACTAATGCATTCAAACGAAGGCTGGAGCAAGTTTAGGAAAATATACTTTCCCAAAAAATTCACTTAGGTTCCACAGACCTCTGAAATCATAGGTAACCCAGGCTGCTGAAGAAAAACAATGCATTTTGCTAAATCAAAAATGGCATGAGATGGATTTTTTACTACTGATGCACATGCGACGATTTCAAGCTGCAAATTGGTTTATTCTTTACAAGTTGCTGCTGAAACATTCTGCTTTTCTTTTTGAATTGCGTGAAAGGTTTCAAAAGCTGCTATGAATTTATAAAATGGTAAAGATTGATGAATGAGCAGGAGATTAACTATGAAGGAATCCTATTTTCGTGAAAGAGCATATCAGGAATTTGGTCTGCATTCTACTGGAGCAAAGGGGAATCTCCAGCTGAGCAGGATCAGGTCCTAAATGGCCTATTGTGATTTGACAAATGTAAAGGTTTAATCTGAGCAGTTGTTCTTGCAGCTTTATTTACTTTAGCAAGAAGTGCTGCAGATGGTGAGCAAGAAGACTGATTATTTCAGGATGTAAGCTACTGGAGTGAACACATTTTCAAAGCCATGATTCTTTTAGTAGTATTTCCTTACTAAAATAACTTCAAGCAAAATGCATAAAACTAAGCTGCAGAACTGATTTTTAATTTAAGCTTTCATTTGTGTTGCACGGTCATGTGCCTGAGTGGAATGCTGATTATTATGCATGGACTTTAAAACTTACTCCAGCCTTCTACTTTTCCCTGCTGCCTGCTTTGTGGTCACTGCACTACATTCAGGTAGGCTGAATCCCATGTGCGGTTCTCAATTTCTTCTGCAGCAGTGACTCTCCACACAGCACAGATGTGACCCCCTGTCTTACAGTCCCAAAGTCTGGTCTGGACCCGGCAGTCAAAAACCATGCACTGCAGATGCTAAGATGGTAATTCTTTGGATTCAGTGCTTGTACTCCCAAACACTGTCAGTCATTTTGGTGACTTACTGTTCTGTCATTGGAGGGACTTGCTGGTTCAACTAGGTTACTCAGTTTGCTCTGCCATGCTAGTTGTCCTGCGTGCACGTTCTGAGAGTGTCTCAAAAACACACAGTAATTCAAATCAGATGTTAATCTAAATCACCTTTCTTGGTATACTGATGCAGAAACACCATCTCAGCAAAAAACTGGTAACATGATTGTCTCAGCCTTTCACCGCCTCTGTCATTTAAGCCTGGAAAGTCAAACCTATTTACACGTGCAAAGCCCATTGGTTTCAGAGGGTTAATGGTAAGTATCTAATGCCTTCGATATAGAAATTGCCTTTGCAGTGTTAAGTAGACAACTCTTTGGTATTGCTATTAATTTTAGTGCTTACTGCTCCAAAATTTAGTGACTAATCTAGTAAAATCGGGACGCTATTCCTTAGTGCCCTATTATAAATATTACTCAGGACAGTTTAAATGTTCCAGCGTTGGTGACTAGATATGCCATAAATACTTTTTAATCAAAAAATAACCCAAGCCACCAAACAGAATTCCCACCCCAAAATTAAAATCCGTTGCTTAGTAAAGTTCATGATATTAGAATTGAGTCAGTGATTAATATCTTGTGTAGTTACTACTTCATTTTCAATATCTTTTTGTATAATAAATGTGTTCAGCTTGTCACATATCTTACTTTATGTCCCCACCTTGTACCATTTCACATTTTGCTTAAGTACTTGGTCATCTATTACATGACTCATTACTCTGAGTTCTATACAGAATTAAAGAAAGTTGCAGTAAAAATAATATATTGAAGTTCAAGTTTCAACTACATCACCCATGCATGTTTAAAAACATCTTTCAAAGTCAGCTCCAACACAATTGTGCAAGATTAATATTCAAAAGGCCCCAACGCCAGTTCTTTGTGGAGAAGTGGGAACAGACTGAATAAAGCCCCACATGTTTGTCAGGTGAGAAATGAAAGCTGGGGAATGATCAAATCATCACTGACTAATGTGACCATGATGTTTTACTGTCTGACATTCGGTTCCTGGTCACTTGGCAAAGTCAGCCATGCCAGATAATTAGAAACAGAAGTCAACAAAGGCCTTAACTCGTCAAATAATTACTCAGGACTCTCCAAAACTGAACTGAAAACCAGAACAACAAAGAAAACACCCTACCTCTATGCTCACTGAAGTAGAAAAACCTGAGTTCAAAACAGTTAAACTAATATTTTTTGCAGTATTCCTTCAGAGAAGTAAATAAGTGTATATGAATTTCCACTCGCTCCCCTTCTGAAGATGTTACCAAACAGGATTAAATTTCACGACAGTATTACACAACAGTTATTTCTTATCAATTTTAAAAGTGGATAAACCGAGTCATATAGATAAGGTTCTATTCACAGTTGCAAGCAGTCAGCAGCAGAAATGAGAATACAACTTCTGAGGTGTAACTAACCAAGGCCAGCCACTAAGCGACTAGATACTACCTTTCTACTGTGCCAAAGTACTTTATTTATTGCACAAAAAGGGAGCATTCAGAGCAACAATAAGGCAGATAGACTAAATGGAGCCCAAAGGAAGTTCTACACCAGCCTAAGAATAAATGTACATCTTGTCTCGTTAAGTAATGCATTTAAATATAATTAATATCCTTTTCTATTACTTTGTCTTTATCTGTGTGAAAAGGTACAAATTTTTGGACTGGAAAAAATCTTGCTGATGATGAAAAATTAAAGTAATTTGTTTGGTTCTGTGGTCAAATACTACATATCATTATGTTGCTTTTTGTTCAAATATCTTTAAATGTGGAAAAGATGCTGCTGAGTCTCTGGGCTTACCAACACCTCTGTCAATGTGTCCTGTCTTCTAGAAATAATATGTACAATTACATTTTGAATGTAATTTTAGTAGAAAGGTGACATCTTCTAACTTAATCACGATTCTATTGACAAACCAAATGAATGACCCAAAATATTCATTAAATTGTACTTAGCTATGTCAGTCTTTCAGTTTTTTTTTCATAAATGCTAAAAAGTGGGCACCAGGCAAGTACTTTCTATTGCTTCCAAGACTTTTCAATGTCTTTGTGTAGTGGAAAACAAGGACATGCACTTATAAAGCCATCATGATAATGCACAGCTAACACTGTGCACTGTGCTGGTGACCGTGGGCTGATGTTGCATTATCCCCTGCCCAAGAAGGGGCATGTGACACTCCATAGTGACTTCAAATGAAAATACAAAACCCAGAGCAGAGAAAATGAAATACAAAACATAGAAAACAATTTCAATTTAAGCTGACATCATTTAGATGTGTATATCAGCTGGGAGCCATTACCTGAATTTGCCAATGTCTGAGCCATTGTCTGTTTATGGTTAATTTTTTAATTTTTGCAGTCTGCCCCAGCATTCATGAATTATATTTTTTATTCCTGTTACTGCCTTTATGACTAGAACCTGTTGAGGAAAGCAGCTATGCATGCATATTTTTATAAGTAGATATATTACAGATTTTCACCAAGATACTGTCTGGCAAGAAGGTACAATGAAACAAGGAATTGTAATTAGATATAATCAATTGTAACCAACAACAATACATTGATTATTTTCCTGCTAAAGGATGCGAAAACCTTTCTTCTCAACTATTTTTAGAATTGATTCATAGCATTAATTAGCTGCCAGAAGATTAACATTTATTTGTTCTCGTCTCACACTTAACTTCCATCATTAAAGACATGTTGAAGTTGCTCTATCTATAATTAAAATGTGTCACTTGCTAAGCCTTAAAACAGGATTATTTGCTTGCCCTAGAAATGTTTGTCTGTATGTACATTCTACTTTCCTACTGATACACAAGCCTTCATTTATTAGCTGAAGAAAAATAATTCCTCAGAGCTAGTCATTAGGAGCAGCGGTGTGCTGCAGGGGGAGCTTGCTAAAAGCCCACTTACAGGCTCTGCCATGAGAGCTGCTGCTTATCCTCTGTTCCAGGGATCTCAGCAGGAGCTGAGTTTGATCAGCTTGTTTAGATGACCAAATCCAGGCCCTCTATCTCAATTCTAATGCAAACTGCAGTTTTAATGTACCTTGTGAGGTGATTAATTATGCCACTAGTGGGGATTCAAGGCATCAGGTGCATTTTGCCTGTGACAATATAGAATGAACTCTGAAAGAATGGCTGCAGCAAAATGCCCCCTTCACGTAGAGCTCCTATTTTGGAAAGTGCATCTAATGGGGAAGGAGAAACTGGATCTCTCAGTACACTTAATCCTACTGTCTGTTTGATTTAAAAAGCCCTGACTTGAAATGTATAAGTAAGCCCCACTAACCAGACTCACCTGATTGTATAAAAAAAAAAAACAACCAGAAAAATTACAACAATACTATTTGCTTAGAAGTAAATTATGGTTAAATGCTGCCACCCTGCAATAGAAAGGTACTTAAGTAGGAGTGTAACAAGGAAGGAGTACGTAAAATGACAAACCATGGGATGTGGGTTGGAAGGTACTTAGAGAGCGTCCAACTGTGATCCTACAGTGCCATAGGTGGCAGGAACATTTCCCATTAGATCAGGCTACCCAAAGCCCCCACCAACCTGGCCTTGAAAAATTCTAGGGGTAGGGTACCCAAAATGATCTGGAATAAACATGTTCCAATGAATCACCTCTCCCATAGTATAAATTACTTGACTGAAAGTAATGCCTCCTCTTTATTTCCACTGAAACTACAACAGATACGAAGAGTATAATAACACTATTTGATTAAGCAAATTCTCAGCTACAAAGCACTCTTTATCAACAGCAACAGTCACCAGCAATATCTGTGCATTTCCACCAGTAATGAACAGGAGCCTGCATGCTGTGCTGATAAGTGGAAGTGCCCTACAGTCACTGTCACCATTGCTAAAACCAGCACCCAGCCCTCACTGTGCTCACATCCACTGTTTGGTCTCCATCAACATTCAGCAAGTGTTGATGAATGTCAATGGGTGCCATTTTTTTCTGCATGGAGAAATTCAATTCCACAGCTTTGTTTCATACACCCTTCTACGTCAAATGCCATTCTGTGTGACTGCCCCCCTCCTGCCATCTGTCACATGCAACAAAATGTAATGGAATATTGATGGGAAGTTTCTGCCTTTGCTTCCATACCACCAACATTCACCTCTGATGTTGCTGAATGTAGGGAAATAACAGCTGACCACCGCATACTTCAAACATGCTCTCTTCTTACCTCTTGGGCTGTTGAGAGATGCCTCTGATGCCTTCCCACCATCTCCACAGTGACTCTGGTCAAATGGGAGGCACTGATCACCTGTTCCTGCCACCACATCCACGTTTTTGGCCAGGTCCTTTGTTTCAATGAGTGATTTTGCTTTGTAAACTCTTCTGGTATTGGTATCTGACAAGTAAAGGGATTCTGACACTGGGTCAACAGCCAAGTAATATTTATGTGCAGGACTTGTACTAGAAAAGAAGAATAACAAAATTATTATTTTTTCTTAATAATTTTTGTTCATGGTAGCCTAAAGCTTGTATACTCCTATTTAATTCTGCTGTGGAGATGAGAATTGTAAGTGAGACCAGCTATCATGCAGCTCATCGAAGCACCACTGTAGAAGCAGCTGCAGAGCCTGCCCATCTTGGTTGGTGTCAGACAGTGAGCTCACCCACAGCAGTACTGCTGGGGTTGGTGTGGCCATGAGGACCAAGAGACCCAGTGTAAAGCTAACTGAAGTGACTTCAGCTTACTTAATAATTATTACTTTCAAAAGCAAGGCCATTTTTTTTTTCCTATACCTTTTCTGTTTTAGTACACTTGGCATTGGCATCTTGGCATTGAAAACACATCTGACTTGCAGCAAAATGAATCACAGATTGCTCTGCAAGGGTATTACTATTCACTCTTGGTTACTTTTATCCGTTTCTAAACCTTAGGAAATATGAAGGTATGAAATATGGCACCTTAATTCATGCCGACTGTATTGTCAGGAGCAAGGCAGAAGGCCAAGCACTGTCAGTGCAACTAGGCATGAATTAATACACCATAATTCATGCACCGAAGTGCCTTATTGAGCTTATAAAATGCTATTTAAAAAAATATTTACATACGTTAATTAAATGGTGAGGATTATAAATTCCAATCAGAAAAACTGGGCTTCATCTTACTATCAAGTATAACTTCTTGCTTCGTTTTGAGCGCAAAGTTAATTTCCCGTTTGAGGAAAATGCCTGGGCTCAAACCTGGTGAGACTGCGCTGTAGTCCTGATGATGAAACAGACCCTGGATGGGTGTAGATCCTTCAGACCACTCAGACCATTACTGAAAATCGAGGAGCTGGGCAAAAGTAGAGGAGTGGCCAAAACTTGGTGTATTGTTCAGCCTCAGGCAGCATTTTACTGCTGTCGAGTTTTGCCTAAGGAGGCGATGGCTGACTGCTGCCTGTATGTGACATGGTGCTCCTGCTACCCTTCATGCAGCAGTTCTGTATAAACACAGGGATTGCTATGTAGATTAGAAGATAGTCAATCTCTATCTTAATGAAATGCTGCTAGCACCTAGGATTTCTGCAACTAAGTTAAGAAATGAGCTCTCCAAGTTTTGTCAGTTTTGTTCATGGTGGCTTTGGCAGTGTGCTTTGCCTAGTGCCATGACAAATCAGGACAGGAAGAATCCAGACAAAACAGAGCTAAGAACCGGCAGAGATCCCAGGACAGCTACATAATGTCTGAAATGATACGGACTTACATTACTGTCCAGATTCTGGGTTGCTGTAGCCTCTTTAAAAACGAAGCTTTTGCTTGGCCCCTAACAGACAATCAGTTGAAATCTTCATTTGATTTATTATCAATTAGGCCAATGCTGTAACTTTGATAAATGCGATGGAGCTCGGGCCTATTTCATTGGTCATTTTCCATTCAAAAAGGGACAGAAACTACTCAACACCTCTGAGTCATCAGCTAGAGTAGCTTAATGCTGACCTTAGTCATAAGCTTCTCCAAAAGACAGAAGGGGGAAGTAGAAGGAATGAGATGTTCCCACATCTGTGGAACAGATGTGAAACCCAGCCCAAGGAAATATGGGGAATGGGAGATAATCAAAGCATGACGAAAAACGAGTAACTGGATGTGAGCAAAAGGTAATTAATGTTGAATTACACATCATCATTATTATAAAATTATTTGTTAAAAACATTTGAGAACCATTTGTCCTCTCAGGAGTAAGCTCAGAAGAGCCTGGCCAGCTAAAAAATGACTTTTTAATAAAATATTGCTGATGAAAAAATTGCAAGGAGAATTCTAGATGTTAAATAAACATATTCTCCATTATGTAGAAACTACAGAGAGCCAGGAGTCATTATATACCCTCCTTGTAGACACATTTTCTATCATCCTTGTCATTACATTTAATAGGCTGGCTGTTAGAAAATTCTTGATGTTATCTATGCTCAAAGCATTGAATACTAAAATGCTTAAATTTAAAGAATATTAGCAAAAAATGGAACAAAATCAAACACTCCTTATTGTTGCAGAAGTTTGCAGTCAAACCTAAACACAAGTTTATTTAAATTAGTCTATCAAAAACTACATAAAATAGCCTAGGGTTCACGATTCGTTTTTCCAGAACAGGCAATTATATCCTGTAGTGCAGTTCACCCCTGTAACCTCAAAGCCTGGTTTCTATTTGACCAGTTACCAAGCACCTTGGTTAGATCTTATTAAAAGTTCGATGACAAAGTTCAGAAAACTGAAGAGGATGAACTGTTTTTAAGCAGTCCTTTAAACCAAGGACTGTCTCTTCTCTGTCTCCCAGTCTCCCAGCACTACCCTTTTTTACATGGTATTTTCTTTGTTCTGGCAAAAACTTCTTTTTCTCTCTTTTCTGCAGACCAGAGATTGTGTGGAGAACTTGGTTGTTAAGCCTTCTCCTTCTGGGACTGTCACAAGCCTCTGAGAAAATTCAGTTGTTTCTCCCAGGTATGTGGACATCACAGAAACGTCCAAGAAATGAATGACCCTGTAGTCATCCTCACCGTGGCCATTAAAGCCTGAACAGAACAGCATACACTGGGACTGACGAGTGCTCCTCCATAACCTCAAGGACTACAATAACTTCAATTTACTTCCTCAGGTCTTCCTCAGATTTCACTTGGACAGGATATGGATAGAAATAATTATTACTGTAATTACTTGTGCATTCTCACAACTTGATTTAATTAAGGCTTAAGCTCTTCTCAGAAAAAAAAAACAAAAAAACAAAACCAAAACCTGTTCTAATGAGAAGGTATTTAAAAAACTCTACTTTCCAAAGAAATCCCCAAATTAAAAACCTGATAGAAGGTCTGAATGCACTATAGAATAAGTACATTCAATTTACTTCTTTTCATCAGTGTACAAAGATACTGATCAGTTTACCATAAAGGCAAATGGAAATGACCCTTCAGCTAAAATATAAAAACCTTGCACTTTTAAGCTAGGAATTATTCATTTTTAATTAATCTCTCATTGTAAAATATATGAAATATGACATCATCTACAAGCAGGCTGGCAAATAATCTATAGTATTCAATAGCATCCTAGCGACTACATCAATTAATTCTGACCAGTGCTTTCAGCCTGCAAAGCATACACTCAGTCCATGCAGCACTTCCTGCTATGCCATGCAGTCATCAGCCTCAGTGGTTTATTTATCTCACATACTGAAATTCCTGAAGTTTGCTCCTAAAGGTACACAGTGTCTCGGTGCCTTGCTCTCTCTTCCTAGTCTGCAATGCTACTTTTGCAGGTGGACTGTAATACCTTACTGTATGTTACAGAAGTCTCGTTTCCAACATTTCAACATTACTTCTTAAAAAAAGAAAAAAAAAAAGAAAAAAAGAAAAAAAGAAAAGAGACTTTACGTTGCAATGTCAAAACGTTACATAGAAATGGGAGAAGGAACTTGCTGTAGCTGGAGGAAGCAAGGTTGGAGATGCGATGTGCTTTGGTACTGCCTTGTTCTCGGTGCACACCTTGTAATTATGGCAGCTTTTAAAGCTCAGGTATGCTAGAACCTCTGAAGAATGGGCTCTTGGGGGACTCTGAAGCCCTTTTTTTATTTCTTCATTGGCAAAACCCCAGCTTGCTTGTCTAGCTTTATCTATGATCATACAAGCATAACATGAAAACTGTATGACAGCTCTGGACAGCATCCCAGCACGCAGGTTCAAACTTCTCCATCTCTGCTTGGTGATTAATTGATTTTAGGACCAATCAGTTGACAAAATCAACTGATTTGTTCCCTCCAAAGGGGAAAAAATCAAACTACCTTAAAGGTGAATTTGATTAGCATTTACATTTATTAAATTCAGCGTTTCTCTGTATCAGGATGTCTACAAGTCAGGACTTTTCTAAGGGTATTTCCTTGAACATGGTTCACATATTTGCATTACCGTGTTTTACTCACCTGTGCCTTGTGTCTCTATTCCTAGTAAGACAGTCCGGTTCAGGTTTTAAAAAAAAGAAAAAAAAGAAAAAAAAAGACAAGAAATATTAATTCTCCAGAAAAGCTCTATTTTTTTTGTCTGACTGCTGTACAGCAATAACAAAACACTGTTTATCCTGGCATTCAGTATCACTTCTTCCTCTCAAAATATGTTTCCCTTCTGCCACCCACCACCTGCACATTTTCAAGTTCATTCTGAACAATCAGCTCACAATTACTGCAATGCTGCAATGCTAGATAGTTAGATTTGTGACTTCTAAGTAAGAGAATTTTAGTGTATCAGTGTCCAACATCTTTCCTGCTTTTCTCCACATCCCTGACTCCAAATTATGGGACTTCAAATCAGGACTCATTAATACAGTCAAGCCGCCCTGCCTGAAGCACATTGGTCTGCAATGCCAATCTCGCTCAGCTGCTTAAATCCAGCCACATCCTGTTATTTGTGAAGAATGATTTAATTGTATTAATTTCAGCCATGGCAGGTATATCAGACCAATAAATCAGACACACTGCACATCTGCTACTGAGTGGGGATCAGTCTTAAAGAAAAAAAAAAAAGAAAAAGCTTCCTGAAATTTCTAAACTTTTTGGGGGAAGAAACAATTGCATGAGAATCCCCATGAGAAGAAAGAACAGCTCTATTAACTCTGCACTTCGTAGAAATTCATTATGCAAAACCCATTCTAAAGGCCACTTACGATGCCCTTTTTTAACTTATGATTTTAAGGAATGCATAAGTTTTCTGATGACCGAGTTTCACTGTCGATGAGATGCGTGCTCAGGAGACAACTAAACGCAGCTGTGTCTTTAAATCAAAAAGGACAAAGTCTCGCTGTAGTTTTCATAGGCGTATCACAGCCAGGATAGGGACACAAGCCAGAGCTAATCTCTTTTTACCTCAACTCTAATATGCCAATAGAGTTTCCAGAGGGAAAGATCCGTCTGACAAAATTGAAGTCTCCAATATACACACTCCCATCAGGCCCAGAAGTCAGAGCAACTGGGGCAAAGAGTTTGCTGTTGAGTGCAAGACCATTGCAGTTGGAGCAGGAGACACTCCTCTGGTGTCCATTGCCCATCACAGTGGAGATGACCGGTGGCTGCTGGGAAATGAACATGTTTTCACCGTTTCCTTTGTGTACAATTCCTAGGCAGAAGGCGGGAGGGGATGTGAGAAAACAAGAGAAAACACAACAAACAAACAAAGCAGATATAGAGCACTTGAACTGTTCTGCCGTTTGGTATTTTGAAATGCTAGGGAAAAGCAGACCAGCAAAATAGCAACAGACATCAGATCTGTGAAAACTTCATCACGGAGCTCCAGGAACCTCCTCTGATTTTGCTCAGTCCCAGGCTTCGCCATCACCATTTTGTCGATTAGTGCTTAGCGGCTGTTTCAAAAGCCAACATCACGAGGAGAGCTCACGGTTGGTTAATGCTCTAACAAATTGACTGTTAATTGCAGTGCTATCCGATTTCTCAGGGATTACTACTTTAATATTCATTTTATTCATAAATTTTTATTAGGTAGCAGAGGAATTTCTGAGGCAGTTTGAATATTTAATTAAAGGAGATTAATGGGACAACTATGCATTTTTCACAAAGGAGCGCTGAGTGGCAGTACAAAATCAATATTCACATTTAAATGCGAGTCCTTCATGGTATATAAAAATGGTGTGGCGTGCAGCAGAGCCAAGCTCGGGGTCACAGCACCGTGGCACCGACACATTTCTTACCAACAGGAGTGTGTTATGCTCTGCCATAAAGTTCAGAACAACTTGTCAGAGGATCAGTTATTTCAGCACTGCTCTGCAGCATATGGTGTTGAATTTTCCTGATCACAACGCTGGCAGTACCAGACCCACGACAAACAATTATTTTCTCAAGTAGATATTTGCAGCACTTATTTTTAAATAACATAAAGGGCGACATATTCAATGACAACTGCAAAATTTTGGCTGTTTCTGTTTCTATTCTTAAAAATTTCTTATTCCCCTTCGAGAGCCCAGTACTTCATAAGGAACAAAGTGACATAATTAAAGGAATAAACCCAAGGGAATGTGCTTTCTGGAGGACTCTCACTGATACACCAGGAAACAAGAGACTGCAGTAAGGACACATTAAACCTCTTCAGTGTTTTCCTGAAATGTGTGTGCTGCCTCTGCCTGCTTTTCTTAAATTCTTCTACAGCATGCAGTTAAGTCCAATTAAAATTTACTGAGTGTTGCCATTGCTGTTTTGAAAAGCATTCTATTAAAATACAGTAACATTCATGGCTGCGGGGTGACCTCATTGCAGCCTATCAATACCTGAAGGGAACCTACACCCAGGAAGGGAGTAAACTCTTCAAAAGGGCTGACAGTAGCAGGACTAGGGGAAATGGATCCAAGTTGAAGGAGGGAAGATTGAGGTTGGATGTTAGGGGGAAGTTCTTTACAAGGAGAGTGGTTAGGCCCTGGAACGGGCTGCCCAGGGAGGTTGTGGATGCCCCGTCCTTGGACGTGTTCAAGGCCAGGTTGGACGGGGTCCTGGGCAACCTGATCTGATTGTGTGTGTTTGGTGGCCCTGCTAGGCAGGGGGGTTGGAACTACATGATCCTTGAGGTCCCTTCCAACCCAGATGATTCTGTGATTCTGTGATTCTGTGATTCTGTGATTCTGTGATTCAGAACAGTAAAGGACAGAATGCACGTGTTTATTTGAATGCTGGCTAAAAGAAAAACAAAAAAGGTATCTCGGCAATACGCCAGCAAAACTAATGGCAATACCCTCCCTTATGCACTGGACAGAAATAGTGCTAAATGAAGATGCTGCCCTTTGTCTGAAATTAACAATATAAAGGTAATCGTTCAACTGGCTCACACAAATTCCAGTAAATAATTAGGGCTCTCGGGAATGTTTCACTGTCAATACATGTAAACGTGTGCTTAATTTCAGGCTCCTGAGTTGCTGCTTTAATTTTAGCCAGTGCTGTGCCGTGCCGGGGCTAGAATTACCGTAAAGCACAAAGTCCCCTCAAAAGTAAATCAATACACCTGCCCATCAGAAGAAAATTCTAATTCAAAGAATACTCCGAAAAATCGGTTAATAGCACATTTATTTCTATTCATGAGATAGCTGTGCCTCTACAAGGACCCTCTAGAGGAACCACTATTTATAGTATGTGTTCTCTTCTGGATTATGAGAAATGCCCTGAAGATCTTCCAAACTGACCAATGCCTTCATGTTTAAACATCAAACTTAGGTCACGTCATGAATTGTAAATGACCAAACATCTGCACCAGAGGGAAGAAAAGTGGGAGAATAAGAGTTCACGATGGCTGAGGTGAGGATGTGATCCTCAATGTGATGCAAAAATGCTCACATTTAAAAAGCTTGCGCCTGAGAGAGCCACACATTGGAATACATATTTCTCATATCTACACTGCAGGAATCAGATATTTTCCTTTCTTTTTAAGATACTTACATTGGCACTAGAACACAGTTTTTAATTGGTATGGTTTCTGCATGTCACTACTTGTCCCTCCAAAGCTTAGGCTGTGCTATGAAGTGCAACCCTATATAATTGCATCTATTTGTTTCCACAACTACTCTATTCTACTTGATTTATTTTGTAACATCTCTGAAAGGAATAGATCTGTGAGTGTGAGGGAAGCACAGCTACCTTTCTCTAAGTATGAACAGCAGCAGATCTGCTGGAAGCAAGGCTGAACTTAAACGTAAGCTCTTTAGGACCAGTTAACTCACTAAGCAAAACGGGTTTAGTCTGAAGACAAAACTGCAATTTCCAGTAGGGAATTTTTAGAAAGATATTCAGTGTCATTTCTGTAAATTAATCCAGTGACAGTGTTTCAAAACAGGATAAATTTCATGCTACTCAGAAGTGTAGCTCTCCATATGTACAGAAGGATGCTTTAATTACAAATGGAATTCTCAGTATCTTCATACTTGAGAAGGCTCCTCATGCTTTCTATTTCACTCCTGGTGGTATGGAGATAGGTCTGAACTGTACAGTTCTGAGTCTGAATCTTGTCCTTATTATAAGTACAGTTTACATATCTGAAATGGAAGAGCTGTCTGCTAGTTTCAAGATCAGAACTGTTATTTTTAACCTTCTGAGTAATGCAGTTGACTATTTAGTTTTGTCGCTTCAGTAGGAGCCTACAAACTGCTGTTAGGAGTGTACTAGCTATGATACAAAAATCTTTTTTTTCTGTTCTAATTTTCCAGTTCCTACATACATATATAAGCCACGGACAAAGCCTACTACAATGAAGAGGAATGCTCAATGACAGAGCTGAGCCGTGGCTGAGCTCCATGCTCCTCACGACTGCACACAAGTGCTTACACCCTGCCAGATGTGTCTCAGTAGCTGCAGATGAAGACGTCCAATGCTTTCCCTCTGATGTCAGCCCCCTTCATGGCCAGTGCCGCAGGAACACGTGAGGAAGAGGAGCAGCTATGGGAAGCTGGGGAAGTGTGCACAGCCTGTATGATTTCAGAGGAGGTGCTGTGACTGACAGGTCGCTGCTCTCTGGTGCTTCCTGTGTCACACAGCTGGGATGGGGCCAGCAAGCAATTCATCACAGTATATCCCATGGTCAGGAGTGGTTTAGCACTGCTTGCATTATAATTGTATTTTTTACAAAATCTGAAAACTTAGCGACTACAGGGGTGAATTACAGCAGGAAGCACCGCAGTTAGCAGACAGCCATATAAACTGGAGTTAGCGCCAGCAATTTAGTCTTGAAATTAAACTATGCAAGTGGTAAATTGGCACTAAGGAGGAGACTATAGGGCACACAGTTGGGGGCTGAGCTGACTAAGGTCAGATTTCTCTTTGTGTTAAATGTCAATAGCTGGCATTTAAAAGAGACAATCTATACAAACCAATAACACAGGGTATGAAAGAACTGCTGCTTAAAATGTCAAACTATTTTAAATCAAAACAGAAATCCAAATAATTTACAAACTAAATTTGACCTTTTGTATTTGGAATATTTATACTCTAGTTGCGCATTCAACAACAGAACTTGTAAAATCCTGACAGCCATACATCTGTGCATGAATCTTCATTATAGAAGTTTGCAGATGGAAATAGATTTCAGTGGAAAAACTCCCAGTTGGAGCAAATTGAGATAAATTGACTGAATCCAGCACTATGTTGGTTCCTATGAGCTGAAATCTGAGCCCAAGTCTCCCAAGGAAAGCGAGATACCAGTTTACCTGCAAAATCGTATTTTTTCTGGTTGGCATAACTTGTATTAAATTATTGTTTTGATAATTTAATTCTTGATTACAGATATTGAGGGTAAAAAAAGAAAAAAAAAAAAAAAAAGCAAAGAAGCAGGAATAAAATAAAAGGAATGATAAGATAGATTCAAGTCTCCATGCTTGAAAAATCTCCATGCTTGAAGAATCTCCATGGAGCGTTAACAGCACAACAAAAGGAACAGCATGACATCAGGATTTTTCTAGTGCTTTAAAAGGTGCTGGATTGCTTGTCCTGAAGAGTAATCTACCGTGCTTCTTCACAAAGAGGGCAACCACAAAAGCCTCTGCACATTGGACTGGCCACTCATCATTCAAAAGTTCTGATTCCACACCTGCTCTGTCTCCCTCTATGTCTGTTGGCACCAGAGATACCGCTAATCAAGGTTGGTCGTCGGATGAATTACAGACTTGACTGAGAATATAACATACACAAACTCACCTAAAATGTAATACTTCCTTACCAACGGTGTGAAAATGAGCCTAAATGAGCGTGCCCTTTTCCCATGCAAATGACAAAACGTTGTTGTGATCACCAGTTAGAGATTATTAGCGTTTAATACCTGGGAGCCAGAACATTTAAAATATCCTTTCAGATGGCATTTACAGTTCATTTCTCAAGAAAGGAGGATGCACAATCAAAGAAAGGAGATTAAGTAGTAGGAACAGTAACACTGAATATCTGAACAATTAATTCCTTTAGAATTTGTTTTCTTCTTCTGCATGGCCAGTTAATAAAGGAACGACTTACCACTTTGTGGATTTAATACATGGTGTTTGTTTATGGACCAGCCTCCCAGATTTGAAGCATCCATTTCAAAGCCTTGAAGGATTACTGTTCTTTTCTCCCACAGAATAAAATCAGGACATGTCTCATATTCATATCCCACCGACACTGCAAACAAATAATTAAAGATCTATCAGTCTATTTTTTCTTCCTCTGTGAACTACTATGTAATTTTTCTTTACAGGTTTTGATATTCACCTGTCAAGTAACGATAGCACGGATTTACCTCTGCTTGACTGCTATTGTTGAGTAGTATTTTTTTTAAAGAGTTTCAGAGATTCGTACCTTACAACAGCTATGGTTAGTACCACTTCAAAGAAGAGAAGTGTTTCTATTATCAGTTATAGTTGTCTTAAGAACATCAATCTTTTCAACTAGTGTTTCTGCTAATTATCTGAGCAGTAGCCAAAGGAGAAAAACAAAATCCACATTAAAACTCAATGAAGGGGTTTTGCTTGTTTGTGTGTTTGCTGGGTGCGAGAACACTGGTACCAAATTCTCATAAATTAGATTTTTTTTGAAATGCAACATTCTTTAACCTAACCTTGCTCTAAGGACTGCAGTTAGACAGAAATGGACCTCCAAACAGAAAATTATGCTATGCTGACAACAAATCCTAGATGCTTGGTAGGAAATATTGACATATTTTAGCCTTTCCAAAATAAAAATGTCTTCAAATATATTTTAATATGAAATAAAATGTAGTTCAAAAAACACAGTTTTCTGACATTTTCAGTCTTCTCACTTTTTCTATCTAGCAGCTCTAGGTACATTTTGCTTGAACCATGCATAGTTATAATACCATCAAAATTCCATTATCGGATTCAATCACAACATTTTGATTAGCAGGGAGCATTTTTGTTTGTAAGATAAATGTTTTATGGGAAGCGGAAAGCCGTTCCTTACAATTTCACTTGCCAGAGCTGCTTTGTTATTTTAGCAGAAAGAACCTGGTTTTGCAGCTAAACTCTGGCTTGGAAAATTCACATCTCCTTAAGTACTGCTGATGTTTAAAACTACAGGTTTCAGTATTCTCCCATTTTTGAGCTCCAGGAGCTCTTGTGACTAAAACCAGCACTCTTTCTAGGTGAGTCCATGTCTGCGTGCCCAGCTGTGTGTACGGAGCTTCTTCCAGAATGGCTACTGACCCCCTGTGCTGGGATGAGCTTAAAGGTTCAGTAGCCAAACACACTATTTTCTAGGTGTTAATCCAGGGGGAAGATAAAGGGTAGATTTTTCCTATGAAGCAACCTCACACTTGTCACCTACATGTTAGCATCTTCGCCCCATTCAGGCACTTAACACATCCAATCCTGGGTCAGACGTGTATAGTTGAGAAAAGGGAAGACCTATAAGACAGAGTCACTCAGCCTAGCTAAGTGAATCATTACAGACCCCCACAGGACAGAGTTTCAGCTGCTGTGAGGTACCACGCTGATATTTAGGTCAAGGGAGGCATAACAATCCATACCATCTGAGAATCTGTGCCAATGGATCCACAGTGGCACACTTAACATCACTGTAGCTAACACTAAAAGTGCACCTGCTATTCCCCCCTTACATCTGATGTTTCTGAGCTGTCAAGCACCCTCTAGAGGCTATCATTCCCTTTTTAAAAGTTTCCCTGCTCACAGGCAGTGTGTAGCTGCCTTTTTGTCCCTTTCCATCAGCAACACTCAGACATGCACTCACTCGGTGTGTCTACATAAGTGTTTCTATGCATACGCTAAGAATTTTTCAGACAGCTTATGCTCCAAAAAGAAATAATGGGATGATCTTAATGTAGGACGTCCCAAGCCATCTAAATGGATGTTCCATACATTAAATGTTCATACATTAAAATTTCCGATCAACTGTTTTGCATGTAAAATAATCAAGGTGAAGCATAAAAATTACAAAGGCAATCAAGTGGCTGGGCTTGAAAAGTATTTGTGTCTGGCAGCGTTTGAAAAACGCTGTGGCTTTTGTAAATGAAATGACAATCTCAATTTTAACCTCATTGTGGAGCGTTATTTTCTGGCCAACTTCATTTATAACTCTTTTATGAGGTGACTGAGATTTCACTGCAAGAAGGAGAAGAATTGCAGTAGCTATCTTTTTGGACACTAACAGCCAGCAAGAGCAGTTGCAGCCTTAAAATGGATTTCAAAAGATTTACTGAAATCACCTGAACCAAAAATCTATTATTTTCACACAATTATTTAGGAGAATCAAGAATAATTTGTTAGCCCCAGCATATCACAGCTTCAGGGCTGCTGCTACTGTTCCAAAATAAAGGTATAAAAACATACGATATGATTAAGCACAACAGCAACCTCTACTTCAACCTCTCCTGAAGTATTTGTACTTATCAGCGTCTTACTTTGAACAATGAATGTAACTCAACAGAAGCAACAAGTAGAACAATAAACTGAGGAACCTCGGACTAATCTGCTTGAGAGTTTACATTTGCATCCAGGAGTGTAAGACGTAGCACATCGCTTGTCCCTGTTCTAGGGGACGCAGTGTAAGATTGACCAAATTGAAGGATTTACTGATGTTTCTCTGGAAATCTTGCCTTTTCCTATGCTGAATTACAGCAGCATGCAAACTATACCATGGAGGGCTGGTGTTAACATTCACATGATATTTTTTTTACTTCGAACAAAAAGAACACATCCTATTTTATCAGCCTTGCTGCTACTTGGAGAAAAGCAAGTGGTCTCTCGTTAAAAAGACTTCTGGAACAGAGAAATACCAACTAACATTTTGGAAACAAATTTAAACAAAACTATTTTTGTGGTGAAATGTACTCAAAGCCATCTTTCCTGTAAACAATTCCATGATAATTTCTGTCAGCGACCTCAAAGAAGAATAAAAATGTTTATGGTAGTTATAAAACCAAATGCAGATGGTTATATTCCTGAGTTACAGGACTTCAACCTGCTGCAATTTAATTTAATTAAAATAAAATCTGAACAGAATGCATTATTAAATATTGGTAATACACTGGCAGAGAAAATTATTTTGACAAAATTTACAATAACAGATGCAGATAAAGGCCCCTGAATACTACGGTGTGTCGTATTAAAACTTTATTACAATCTAACAAGCATGCTAACAGTTCTCTTAAAGATTTTTGATCCTATCTTGCAAGAAGCATGACTAAAGTAAGCAAAAGAAAATAAAATTACGTCACAATTAAATGATTAAGAAGTTGCTCTCCTGCACCATTTTGCAAGCCTTATTCATATTTAAACATAAGACTCATCTATTTCTAATTTGAGAACATGTAACCACAGCATCATTTCATAAGACGTTACGTATTTGATTTCCAAACATCCAGGCATGTACTGGACTTGATCATAATAAGGTTCTTGAATGATGTGGAGGGAATTGGCATACTGAACATTTCCATCTCCAGAAGGTTAGTGTTAACATGCACTGACAGAGCCTTGGTACAGGGCACATGTAAACAGTCCAAAGAAAGGCCCTCGCCACCCTTCTGCTCCTGCCTGATTACCAGTGGGAATGCCAAAGGGCATGCTGGAATTTTGCTTTATTTATGGACTAGTAGAAATTTATATGTGAAAGCAACAATCCATTTAACAACTTCTCTCACTCCAAAACACTAGCAGGAATCTGTCAGTATGGACTGAGATGAGATTTGGCCTCTAGTAGTGGAGTTTCATGAGATGAGCTACAAAGGATGCTCCTGCTCCCTGCCACATGCCAACCCAGAGGTTCAGAGAGCTCTCCCGTGTTAGTGCCAGCACCTGACTGTTCCCTTAGTAAAGCAGTTCACCCTTCTGCAGGTTTGAGCCAGATGTGGTAGATCAGAGGCAGATGGGATAATGCAGCAGCTCAGGATGCCTTGTGCTAAGGATGGAGCTTTGATTGCTTTAGGCCAATTGTAATGTGTGAGCTTCAGCTGAAATGAGAAGACCTGTGTTTCAGCACTAGCATTCATAGCAGATCAGAAAGCTAATGAAGCTGAAAATTTGTCAATTATTTTCTGGTAGCTTCAGTTTTCAGCTGAATTTGTTCCCGATCTGGCTCATTTCATGATCAAATATATGTGAGTGGTGGCTCAGGGGAGATGGAAGGACCATGGGAACGTTCCTTCTGGCAGCAGCCTGCACTTCTATCAGCTTAAATAGGCTGTGGGATTGCTGTCCTAGAATAAGCTCCTTGTTTTCTGATATATTCCCATGTACACCTCATGATATAAAGTCATACTCAGTATTTTTGTTTCTAACATAATCCTTTATGGCACCAACAGCTACGTCTGCACCATTCTCCAAGCAAAAATGGAAGTGCTATCGTCCTCCTTTCTCCCATCTCCTATCCACACAGCTGCTTTGCAGCCTGCCTGGGAGCATGTGATAAGAGAGTCAGGTATGAGATGTGCTGGGAGCTGCTGGGGATAGTGCAGCCTGGATGGCACCTCTTGGCTTTACATGGGTCAACGTGCCACAGACAACACGACAGGTCCTAAACGAAGCTTCTGGCTGCTGCCCAGATTAGCACTTTACTCTCTAGAATGAGGCACACTCCTTGTGAGGATGGATGGCTTCATGGAGCCCTTGCTATACTTGTTTTATAGCCTGTTCCTGCCAATGCCTCTTGCTATTATCCCTCAACTTAAAAAGCAAACCAGAACTACTAAAAAAGTGAATAGGACTCATTCACAGCTCTAAGCTTTGCTGATAAAACAAATAATCTTGACAGAAATAGGTATTCGGATATGTAGGATTAGTCCATTAAGAAACAGAATCCCAGAATCAATTAGAAGAAACAGCAAGAGGAATCAAATAATGAAAACCATAACAAAGAATGTTGGATAAACAAACAGCACTTTCGCAGACACCTTTCCTGTTGCAGTTTTCAACATATCTGCTTGGTAAAGAAAGCCTTTTTAATGTGATCATTTTCTTATAAATACCTTCAAACAACAAATCAAGAAGTTGTAACTGTTAGAGACATGAAATGTAGAAAAAAAAAATGCCTGAAAGTTAGAGTTTTGTAAACCCTAAGTGGAAATGACATTTTAAATGTCACAGCCAAAAAATGAGAGAAAAAATGACACACCAAAGGTCATATTCAAAGTAACATTCAAAAACAAAGACAGCTAAATATAATGCTGTTAGTACATAGCCATTCTCAGAGGGAAAAGGGGATTTTCAAATTGATTAAATTAGAAAGATGACATTGGAGGAACAAGAAAATAAATATTCCTAGGAAACTACAAGTCATTTTAGCCAAAGAGGCATTTGATTAAAAAAAAAAAATAAAATGTAAGCGTGGCTACAAAATGTATAAGCTGTACTTTCTAGGCTTCACTCATGTTAGAGCTTTTGCTTATACCAAAGTGATTCTACATACCCATAGCTTCTGCCAGACCAGAAACCTTCTGTCCATATATATCTGTCTTATTCCAGGCAAATGTGTAGACCAAATTGGCTGCAGCAGGAAACCATTTCTGAAGCAGGCGTCCCTCAACAGCAATGATCAGATGTACTTTTGTCATTCCAGAAGGGATCGTTGTGTGCGTCAGAATAACGCGCAGCAAAGTTTTGTACCCCGGCGTTCGACTGCTGAGATAACTCAGCTTCACAAAACTGGAAGGAATTGGGATCTCCTCCTGGACCACCTTGGGGAAAACAAAAAGAAAAAGACATAAAACATCCTTGTATCTATGGCTATGGAAAATGCACAATTTATTTATCTGCAACGACAACAGAAGGCTACTTTACAATTCACAGTCATGATGTGATCACAATAGTGATCACTTCTGTGTTGCTCTGAGCAATGCAGTATAGAATCACAGAATCATGGAATGGCTTGGGTTGGAAAGCACCCCAAAAATCATGAAGTTCCAACCACCCTGCCACAGGCAAGGCCACCAACCTCCAGATCTGGTACTAGACCAGGTTGCCCAGGGCCCCATCCAACCTGTCTTGAACACCTCCAGGGATGAAGTCTCTCCAACTCTCTCCAACACTGAAAATTTACTGGACAGTGGTCCATCTATTTTGATAAAGAACCTCTTCCTATAATTCTTCATGTTTACCTACTGAGGAGCAAGTGCTAGCTCCCTGTAATAAGCACTACAGTTCATAATGATCTGGATGACTGTTATAGCTTTACCTACGCTTTATTATTTGGGATACTCGATGAGTGGTTTTTTTTAATTATTATTTTATTTTAATATGCACACACTTCACACATTACATCATGATTTGAAGACACTATTCTGTTTTGGAGGCAATAACTCCAAGGTTGGGAGAGCAAAGAAATTAGAAAAACTTTCCTGACAAACCAGCTTCTGTGCAGCAGTGCTTGCACTAGGGCTAAACTCCAGCAAGAGGGGGCATGGTGTTAGAAGGCAGGGCATCAGAAACCTAACAAGCTAACTGGGGACACAGAGCAGTGAAGATGAAACAGTCAGGGCATCCGTCATCTCGCTAACAGGTGAGTCAGTCCCCATGGTGTGCAACAGAGTTCACATCCCACAGCACTGCTGTCATTGCCGCCGTCTGAATCACTGGGATCAGAGCTGGCGTGGCTCTGCCCATGTGGAGTGGTATCAACTTCCCAGCTGCTGCGAGAGGGACTGCAAAGACAGTGAGCTTGCGTGGGAAATGGAGAAGCTTGGCCTCGACCTTCTGAATGGCACAGGCCTCTGAGCTACAACAAGGGATTTAGCTCTTGTGATCTACTGAGAGAAAGGAGCTCTTGTAGGAATGGCTGAGATGGGGAACAGGCAAGAGAGGGGAACAGCTAGCTTCCTGAAGAATGCCAGCACAGTCGCTCCAAAGCCACTGAAAACCTTAACACTGAAAACCTTAAAAAGGTCAGTGATTTGAGTGAATTTCAGTAACAAGCCAGTCTCTCACAATCTTAAATTAGCTGAGTTCAGAAAAAATACAAACTGTTTTGTTTATATTCCCATTTTCCCATCTTTGTTGTTTAACAATAAATTCCCTCACTCTCACAACATCCTTATTTATGTACTGCAACAGTGTCACTGCCACAGCATTGCTGCAGTACAGCTGGAGGCCTGCCAGCACTTGTCCTTTCAACATATGAAACGCAGTGTTGCCAGGGAAATCCTGCTCCCTTTGCTGTTCCCGATTTACAGTGTTCCCCTTCTTTCCTGCTGACATCCCAGCTGCCCCCTCTGTCATACATCTGACATCTTCTTATTTTTAATAGAAAAGCAGGAAGAAATATTCATGCATTGATACATGCTAATCTACTTCATTCTCCCATTATTCTGGGTTATTTTTTGCTCTTTCCCCAGTACTGTACAAGTTGACACACTAATGACCCTCCAATGCTGAAAAATAAACAGGGGCCGAGTTCCCTCTGAGCAGACTGCATCTTTATGGACCTCATTGTTGTTTTTTTTTTTTTAAGAAACAACCAGGAAGACCTCGTGTGGAGTAATGTAACCCATTTTTTCTTACTGGTGCACATCAGTTATTAATTTCTTAGTTCTTCTCAGTTCATTACTTCACTTCATGTGTTTTTTGACGATGGTCACCAGCTGGCTGAACCAAGATCTGTTTCTGATCTTACTGCTTGAATTCCGTGGAAACAACATACACTAATAGTGGGGTTTAGTTTGACGTGACCTAAAACTGGTGTTGCTGTATCTCGTGGGGCATTCTACATACATCACCTTTATTAAGAGCAGTTAAAGGCAAGATTAATACAAAGTGGTACTAAACACATAAAAGAGACTCGAGAATAAAAGATATTTAAATATAAACAATCCAAAAGATCATATTAAAAGTGCTCTATGTTGAAAAGAATAATAGAAAAGAAAAGCAGCTAACATATCGCTGGAGAAGCCATTGTAAAGAAGATGTGAACAGATGAAAAATCCCTTGTCTTTAAGGAACTCTGTGGAATGTCTCACATTGATGTCTGGTGATGTTGTACTGTTCATTTGTAACTTAGAAATGGTTTTGTGCATTTCTATAAATAAATAGGGATTTCAATAATAAATCATGACAAGACTTCCCCTCTCCTCCTTCTATTTTGAACGAAGGAATAAAGTATTTTAAAATATTAACAAAATGTGAAGAAGGAGAAAAGCATCTTGTGTAACAGTACTGAAGAGATCTACGCTAACCTCACTGTGATGAGTAACATCACAACGGTTCATTGCTTTCATTGCTCCCTACTTGGTAGCAGTGTTTTCACAGCAGAAGAAATTAAAGCAGAATATGTGCAGAGAACACTCACCATACTCCACATCTACAAATTGGTTTTAAAGTCTGAAACTGCAACTTCTGAATTCAATTTTAATGACTGACTTGAGTGAAACCCTTCTTTTAACTTTTTTTTTTAAACTTGTGTAGATCTGAGGTCTATGTGCTCTTCTGTTAATGTGCACTGATCAGAAAAATGTAAGCCTTCAGTAGAAATGTTTGATAAAATTGTAAGATGATCCTTCACTGATAGGAGTAATTGGGTGACCGAGTTTAACAAGCATGGACTTGTTTGGCTTTCAGTGTCAAAATTCACTGCTATTTGCAGAACAGCCAAAGGGGAATGTTTCCATGTCACTACCACCAAATAATTGTGTAGGTTACATTAACGAAGATGAGGAATGGTAATTTTTAACATTTTCTAGAACTTGTTCAGCAACCAAACCCATTTTTAAAAATGTTAACTTAAAAGTATTTTCATTACCTGTAGCTCTGGAATAACAGTTCCTCTTTCTGGACAGGAGCCTCCAAATGCTGTCAGAGGTGAAGGGAGTACAATAGGATTTGGACTGATGAAACTACTGACGTCACAAGATGGTATATCTGATTCTGCTCTTTGCATTACAACTTTGTCTACAATGACAAATCTATTCCAAGGCAACCAAAGTGTCCTTTTTTCAGATATGAAAGGAGATCTGTCAAAAACCAGGGTGACAGAGATGCCTCCCACAGCCACAAGGTCGAAACTGGAAAAGACAAAACAAAATTCTTAATTCTTGTATTAACATTACATTACCAGAACTTTCAGCGCATCACAAACAAAAAAACTTTATATTGCTCATTATGGTCCTTAATTTACCAGGTAAAATCATTCCAGTGTATCTTCCTGATGTTACCACAGTATTCATAAAGAAGCTTCACCTCTCCACAGATCCTTTCTATAGGCATCAATAGCGAGGTACAGTGTTTCACTGCACTTCTGTCCCTCTCCCCTCTATTTATCACAGAATCACAGAATGGCCAGGGTTGGAAGGGGACCTCAAGGATCATGAATCTCCAACCCCCTGGCACATATAGGGCCATCAACAACTTATCAACTAGAATTGATAATAACAAGTCACCTGTAACAAGAATCTGGACCTAGTTGATTTGGATTATAGAAAAAGAAATCCCTAGCTCAGGAAAGGGACACTTATAATCTGCGCGGGTATGGTCTGCAGAATAAGAAGCCCAACAGTCTGGTAGGCCTTTTCTTAACACATCCCTTTTCCATTTTCTGAAAGTTGCAGGAGAGTATACTGAATAAGAGACCCCTCTGTGCAGGATATGATTTTGGGAAAATTGTGGATTATTTGAACCAGCAATGAATCAGCTCTTGTAAATAAGGCAGGTGAACTTCTGAAAGTTACATTGAAGCACCTTTGGAATATCTAGGCTTCAAAGCAGTGGGACATAGGAGGCAAGATACAAAGTGTTAATTTTCTGAGTTTCTGACATCCACATTCAAGCAACAGAAGACAATATGTAAATAGATACTTCACTGCCTGTGTTACTGAATGCATCTATTTCTGAGACTTTTGATGGTAACAAACTGTGATAAGAAGTCAGGCTTAATTATGCATATCTCATCACATTTCTCAAATGACACCGATTACATTCACAGCAAAATACAGGTAGCATATTTCCATGCAACAATTTTATCCAGACTAGCGTAAATAAGAAATGGTAATTACCAACTTTCAATAGTGTGAAAGTCAAGAAAGTAAAGTAAAATAAATATGCATGCTCCTTATGGTGATAAAGTGACAAACAAAAAAACAAAAAAGTGACAAATTACACTCTTCCCTTGCAGGAAGAGAGCTTCTGGCTTCTTGTCTTTCGTAACACAGCCAAGAAAGATGAAGCCAGTAGAAGCTTAATACATCTGAAGTTTAAGAGTACATCATGATCCTACTGCAAATAGGTGACCATCCCTGCAGGGCAATGTAGAATATATAGGAACTCATCTGTCTTTGAGAACTAAGCTCAGTCGATTAGGTCAGGGAAGGGATGGAATGCTGGACAGGATGCAGAGCAACGGCGTGACAGTTCTGTCTCTGTGAAGATTCCGTCCCCAGTTTTACTCGCATGGCTTAGATGATCAGCTAAAGGAGTTAACTTCATTGACACTTCAATAAACTACTTCCCAGATTTACAACAGGAGACAGAAAAAAGAGGGAAGACAGAGAATTCTCTGGAAAGTCTGGAAAGCCTGACTACTGAACATTTTCAAATGTCAGGGATGTGCTGGTGCAGCATTATTGTCAGATTTTGACTCCACGTGTTTGAATGTCACTAATCTTGTTTCTGTTCAGGTTTTTTTTTTTTTTTTTTTTTTTTTTTTTTTTCCCTTTCTTCTTTGCCTCTTTACCACAGGTAGCTCTAACAGGTATGCTACCAAAGCAGAATCAGATGGCATCCTGAGTCCACACTTTGACGAGTGAATCTTATGAGAATATTGCACATGAAGGGGCAGAGGTAGATAGATCCAAACTAAAAAAAAATAATAATCTGGACTGTACATAAAAATCTCACCTTCCATCTTGTCGACTGATGGTATATCCATACTCATTGTGGTGTAGAAAGCTGACATTCACACCAACCAAAGGAGTTCCATCTATTGCTACCACCTGGCCACGAATGACACATGCACGTCTGCAAGAAAAAGCATAGAGGCAACAACGTCAGACTCATCAGGACAGTGAGAAGGGTACTGACCTTGGAAACTGAGCTACGCTTCTGCCCCAAGCAGGGAGAATTGCTGTAATGTCATCATGACTTGATTTTGAATGAAAATTCAAACAAGCCCAAAAGATCGATTTGACAAAACATTACAATGAAGAAGTCGCACAGGTTGCCCTATGAATCGTTAGTGTATCAGGAATGCATTTCCCTTTCTGTCTACATTTCAGGACACCATTTGTTCTGCCATTGAATATCAATGCAAATGTTTCACTGATTTAGTTTGCTGCAGCTCCAGTGGTGATGATTTGTGAAAGGGGAGAATGAAACCTCTTTCTCTGCTGCTAAGAACAGGGCGTTGCTGCCTGTTAGAAAAAAAAAAGCTGAACTAATGCGGTAAGGCAGCAGTGAGACACATGATCATACTTCAACCTCAGAAAGTTACATTGGTAAATCTAAAGAGCACCTGAACAGGTTATGCCCTCTGAAATTCCCTGTAGTGCATGTTTGAACTTGTTGCCATTTTCCAGCATAAAAATCTTTCCATTCCGCTAAAGAGGATGGAATATGGCAGCATGACAGAATGCACCAAAATCAACAGGTAGGAAAGTGAAATCATAAGTGGGTCCAAATATAGGCTGACAAAATCATACAAAATGAAAGCTGAAAGGAAATACAAGACTTAATCTTGTCTGTTCCTTTGCCTCAGGTAAGATTAACTATGCCTACATTACTCCAGACAGATGCTTGTCTATATCCTCACCAGATAACTCACTCCAATCCTTCTGTATGAGTGCTTTACTCATGACAATTTTTTCCTTCTGTCCACGCTAAATTTGTACTGTTGTCTTTTAAGACTGTTACTTTCACGTTAGAATGCTCTCCTAGCTTTGGCCTTTTATAAATTTGAAGACTAAAGAATAAAGGAGAAAAACACCATCAAGGATGAAGAATAACATATGAAATATTCTCACTGTGCAAATTAAGACCTGGTGAGATTTTCTTACACATCTATATTCCACTGAAATACCTTTCAGCATTTTGCCCCGTGCCCTCAGGTATTCTACATTAGCACAGCTCTGCTGGCTGCAAGGATCCAGGCTTTAGGATCTAATGACACAACTACACAAATTTCCTGGAAATATGCTTTCACACAATGAACTGAACAGTGTAGGCAGAAGTAATTGGATAACGTTAAGACACGTAGGGTCAAAAACATTAGGATGTCTATAAAGACAACTGGTATTATTTATTATAACCAATAAGCATAAATTTAGACATTGTAATGTTTCCCTTTCAAGTTGAAAGTTTGCAGCAGACCCCAATAGGAACACACCAACTTTGTGGTGTGAATATGTAACCGAAAGGGAAAACATGGGGCCTTAAGTGGGAATTATTTAAGAGTCTGTATATAAACTTAAGAAATATCCCTTGAGAGACTAATTGATCAGGATCCAGTGAAATCATATATGTGAATTAGAGACCATAAATTTCTGAAAATCTGGACTTGTTTCCTAAGATCCAAAGCCACTCGACAGAACAATAATTTACCGCTATGATATCATCAAATTGAGTTGACTGTGACCTGAGAAAATGCAACTGGTAAAAAACAACCTCTTTTTCTGTATGCTATTCACCATAGCTGTTAGTAAGAATTCCATGCTCCCAGGACACAGAAAGATACTAATTATAAGCAAAGTAGATGAGAGTTCTCAGAGGAATGGGAAATGCTGCACTAATGTCAGTACGCACCTTTCTGCTCCCTACATTTAACTAAGTTGGTTGTGGTTTGAGCTGTGGGCAAAGTCCGCTGCTCCACTGAAGGCAATCAAATTCTTGTGTGTTTCAACAGACACTCAAGACTCACTGAAGAAGAAAAGCCAGGCTCAATTACTCTCTGATGTATTAGAATAGTATCTACTGGTTCCAATTGTTTTCTCGCATTTCTGACATCGACAGACTTATCTCTCACTTTCCAATCCTGTTATTAGTGCAGTCCATGTTTAAAAAGCTTGTGGGTCTAAGAGAGACTTGTAGGAGTCATCATTATTCAGCATGTTGTTCTAGTACTCCTGTTTGTTCATTCACTGATCCTCATTCCACAGATCTATCTTCTGACTCCACTATTTCCTCATATTTTATCAAGCATACAGATTTCTGTGATAACAACTCATCAAAGTCTTCATTATTTCATACACAGTTCTTTTCCTCTATTCATTCACTTCTCATTATTCATAAATAATATTAAGAGACTTATCTTTCAACTTCCTGCTCCTTTTTTCGTTCATCATATTTTACAAGCCACACACATTTACACTATGTGATAAAGACTCCTAAAACTCATTATTCTACGTTTATCTGTACTGAACTGTCTTTCCACTCTTTTAGATTTCATATGTTCTAAACCTTCCTTTGTGTCGACACATTTGTTCTCATTATTTACTGTCTTTTTACTACCCACTCAAGTTGAAGAGTCTTCACTCTTTGGCCTCTTTTTGAATTACCAGCACCTACTAAATCTTCAGCTAGGCGTTTGATCAGAATTACTTCTAATTTTTGCATTTACTGCAGGCATTAAGATCTTTTTCAGTTACTTTATGGCCAGCATGAATCTGCAGGGCTCTGGGAAGTAACAAAACACCCCCACACTGCAGCCACTGGCCCTGCTTCCCCAGGGTCCTGACAGCTCACAGAGCAGATGACCACACTCCAAATGGAGCGCACTGGCTTGCAGAAGATCTCGCTTAATTCCTTTCCTTAACAGAGTTTTTAGGGCTCTTTCCCCTCAGTCATCTGACTCCACTGCTATTTCACTCTTTCCTCGCCTCAGTGTGGAAATGCACTCACTTTGTTGGACCTTGCTACTGCTCACTGCTATTCTTAATTTTAATGAAGAAAACTCTAAACATCACTAGGCCTCCACAATGTGCTGCATTTTCCTCTTGGATGTTCAGCCTCTAACATTTGTGACTGACCTGCTTTGATTTCTCATGTGGGGTAACAACTCATACCACTCATCCTACAGCCATTTAACTTGCAAAGACTGCACGATCTTGGAATAAGGTTGCTCAGATGTTTAAACTTTATAGTGAGTGCAAAAATGACTTTTACAATTAGGAGTATTTCGGAAGGGAACAAGTCCCTGATAAGCTGCCTTTGTGTCTTCAATGTATTAAAAATGTTTCTAGTCCCCTGATATGCTGTTCTAAAGCTGCAGCTCCAGAGGGAGCAGTTGAGAGAAAGCAGAGATTGCTATGGGTTGTAGGTGGCCTAAAAAAAGTAGAATTTCTCTGTAAAAATGCTTCATGGTCATTCTGTGTGTAAAAGTGAGGAGCTCAGCTCTGTGACTCTCCGATCTTTGCCATGTAGATTGTTTGACATCTCTAATTTAAAATATAAACAGCAGTTTAAAATTCAGATGCATTCTTTCACTGCTTGTAAAGCACTTCATTATTCCACCACCGTTCTGTCTTGCTCTGCTACTTCTTATTTGTTATTTTTCTGCTTTTGTTTAGTGTGTTGAGCTTCCAATATTCTCTGAGCACCTCAGGCTGAGACATTAAGCTCAGATGTGGAACTCCGTCAAGCAACGTGTGAATTCGCAAGTGTCACATTACCAGAAGATGTCATTTACTGTATTACATTTCTGATTAAAGCCTTCAATCAGAGAAATTAAGCTAAAGGCGAGCAAGGTACATTCATTTCTTCCTGCTGACAGTGTTGCTATAAGCAGCCTTTGAAGGGTAATTAATTCAGTACCATGCACTGGACCCCTTTTGTAGGCAATTTGCAGTGAGTCAAATAGCTTGCCAGCAGCATGCATTAAAAACTCTCAGCAAAGAAACAAGCCGAAAATCTTCCTGAGAAAGGAAGTTGATAAAACATTTTAATCCTCTACACCATGCTACATGTAGTGGCTCAAAATCATTCCTGATGTAAGCTAGCACATTTCCATTTATTCAGAATTTGTCTCATCTGCCTTTCAGCATGTCACTGTTCAGGTTAGCAGCATGTCAAAAACCCTGCGCAAATGACACAGGAAGAAAATGTATTTTTTGAAAACAATGAGTTCCTTAATACTAATTTTGGTCTATGCACTGAACAAACACCGTGCTCTAGAAGCCTAGTTTTTAAAAAATTAGATCTAATATAAAGTCTATGATGCAAAAGGACAGACATCCCAGTAGTTGTCAGAACTACTCATTTTAGTATGTCAGATGAAAATGCCAGGAATATGGCAGAGACCAAACACTTTCAGGCTTAAGGACAGAGATAATATTTGCTGTTTTCTGATAGCTTTCCCTAAGCAATTCAACATGAAATCAGCATTATCTACAGTGAGATTCATGTAAACATCACCCATACTGGAGTACCCCTGACACACAATACAGTAATACATTTCACAATGTCATTTTCATCAGAAGACTGAGAACATCAGTTTTCAGATAGAAGAAGAAATAGATATTTTTTCTGTAATCCTAATGATCCTCCTAATGATCTCAGAGACTTGGAAAAAGGGAAAAAAAAAAAAAAAGCCAGTTAGGGCTTTGCAAAATTCTATATCTGAGCACCAGTGTGAATGGATGCCAATGCTCTGAAATAAATGAATCCTTACAGAACTTCTCATTTAACCACTAATGCTACAAATAAGGCATTGCAAACAGCCAAGAGTTAATATCATCTGCACAGACAGAATCTCTTCAGCAGTAGCCAAAAGGAGAATAGAAAACTCAAATATTCTTTGGTCTTCTATGGAAAGGCAGGATCACAGATTTTTGATGTATTTACAGTAGTAATAGTAATCTACCTATATTGTTTTTCTGTTTTTTTTTTTTTTTTTCCTATAATCTTAACTCCCAGGAGACAAACAGACACAGGTGACAACCAGACTGACTATGTCAGGGGAAGATTCTGAACAGATACAGTGCTGCTAGGCTACTGCTTCCTTCTGAGATTTTGCTTATCCACGATCCTTAAGGAAAATTCTGGCAGTTTTTAATAATGTTTGACTTATGGATGAGCAATTTTTCAACAGCCTGGAAGCCTTGGGGACCAAGTTAAGTGAAGACCGATGAACTCCTTAGGGTGGCCCATACATGGAAGATCACTGCTGACAAAACCCCAGAGACACGGTGCAGGGCAAATCTCGAGGCACTGCCCTAACTCTAAATGCAGAAGCAGCCCCATCAGAATCCCAAAGATCTCTTATCTCTCTACCAAGTGAGGAAATGATATCTGGGGTGTGTACAATGCACTGGCCCAACTACAAGTCACATTCCTTTATATTATAAAGCCTGAAGTATGAAAACATGGCAAGGATGGGCTGCTGCTCACACACAGACCTTCAATGCTCTTCATTCTCCTAAAGCATACCAGACATTAGGGTAAAGAAATGAAACACTCAGGAAAAGCTTTTAAATCCAAGTTAAATCCCATCAATGATAGCTTTAAAAGATCAGTTCCTTATATCTACAAAAGCATAGTGATGGGATTACGTGCAATCTGGCTGCTAACATTTGCAATGCCACAGAACTCCATTCAGGTGACTTGAGTGCTAACCTCCTCTGTGAAAACATCTCATGGTGAGACACTTCCATGAGAAAATATTTCACTGGTGACTTGTGTTTTAAACTGCAGTCTGCTGCATGGCATGTACAGCCAGCCAAGGATCTTGTAGGAGGTGCGATGGCACTGTTCCATCAGTGCTGTACTCAGAAAGACCCATCTTTGTCAGGTGGTGCTCTTCACACAGTTCATTCTCATGCCCTATTGTTCTACATATTTATAACATCCTGTTACGTTATTAATACTGATTAAACGTCTAGGTATTACAGATCAATAAAGACTCTGTTTACATATTTACTTTATTAATAATTAATAAAGTACAAAGACAAAGTGCACTGAATTTGTGTGCTGCTATGGAATGAAGTTGAGGTTGTAACCTAAGTGCTATTTACTGTGCTCTGAAAATAAAATAAAAAAATCTTATGCCCTTATTACTGGAACATGGTTTATCTAATGTATATGCCTAGTTGACAGGGTAATAGTTAGGTGATGTGGATGATTTGTAGATCTCTTTGTCAGCATGTAAGTTATAGCTTCCCAGGTGAACTACAGCATAAAAACTTATATGTCCCTATATATCAAATGCTCAAGAAAATGTGTGTTACTGGGTTTCTGAGCATGTAAGTGCTCCTCTTCTATTGCACGCTTTTCCTATTGGAAGGCAAGCCAATCTCCAAAACACTCAACAATCACACACTACTGTTTACATGACAGCATAAGAATAATCTGCAACACAAGATAGTTAACTTCATACTCTTTATGCATATGTAATTAAAAAAGTAAGTTTGTTAATTAGATAGCTAGATTATACATAAATAACTCACGTTGAATTTATTACTCTGAATACTAAACAAATTCTATCAAGTAGCATATATGAATTCAAGACATTTGTTTCCTGCCATTACGTGCATTTGCAGCACAAACAGTTGAACGTCCCCTCACTTACTTTTCAAGTACTGATAGTTCACAGCAGTTCAGTCTTTTTAATAAGAATAGTAGAGTTACTGTGATGCTTTTATAAGCCAGATGGGTAACAATGAGAATATGATAAGGAAGACCCACAGCTGTTGGGGCTTCAAAGTTTGCTATCTTTTAAAATACTTTTGGATTGTCAGTGAAGACTTCTCCATAATCTACATAGCACTTTCTCCTAGTCAAGTAACTTCCTTGCTGTTCTCAATATTCAGAGGCATTACATCTAGAATAAAACTCACCTGCTCTCAAATGAGATATCTCCTGGGATCACGTGAGTGCTTTCCTTCCCAATAAGAAATCTGATTCGATCATAAAAGAGCCTTGGAGGATGCTGAGAGAAAGGCAGTTGGCTGTGTTGGATAAGGTCAAGGGGATCAGGCGAACCCTGGCAGAGAGGACTCACATAACAGTTGTTTTGCTGACAGCAATCGGGGTCTACGCAGTCTGTCAAGCCATCTGAAACAAAGAGAATAGAAAGTTCAGAGGACTGAGTGATTCTGAGAACAAAGCACAGCATTTACTACTGGAAAGCACAGGAGGTATTTAATCAATTGGAAGGCATGCTGATTATGATACATTCAAACTCAATAAAGCATTTATATACATGCTTAATTCCAGGTAGGTGTTTCTCTCTAATTATTAACACTGTACCACCTCATAAAATCCCCACGTAACAATGACAAAATAGAAGTTACAAACCCAGTGTCCAGGGAAGAGTGGGACTGCGGAACAAACAGAAGAAAATCACTACACAATACTGCCACATGGAGCAGCTGATCTCTCTCATTGCCCCCTACTGTATGTTCACACCTGTGAAGCATGTACATTCACTAAGCAGGCTACAATAACAAGAAAATCTGAAATGTTATATAAGTTCCATGAGCATCCTTACTACAGTAGTAAAAAAAGATCCTTGTAGCAGTTTTCTAACTTCCATTTTAAGCCCTACGATAGCTTTAGATGTGCTTCAGGATGTTTGTTTTCATTTATTGGTTGCAATACTGAGATGATCCCAAAAGGGCAGATTCATGACTACAGTCCTTTGGCAGTTGGTGATAAACAAATTCACACATCCATACAGGCTTTATCCCAGTGACCTGAATGGTGCAGTCTTCTCCATGGATGTATGCCCAAGGAAAGCAAATTTGGCGAGTGAAAACAAATCTGTTTCTCCTCCCTTCACTCCTCAAGCACGAAAAACTGAAGCAATAATTGATTTTTCAAAAATCTACATTTCTTCATGGAGAAACTTGCAGCTATATTCGAGGGTGACAGTAATTTACTTAAATGTCCAAATCTTATGATTAAAAGCAAAGTGAAGCACTGAAGTAAATCTAAATTAAACACCTAAATAAAACTTAAAATTGGGCCATCAGCATTCAATTGCTTCCATCAGCAGCCCAGACGTCCAAATTGCTTAAATTACATACTTCAGCAGAAACTGTCAGATTTAATAAGGTATGGTAAAATGTCCAACTATCCTCTTAAAAATCCATTTCGTGACTTATCAGCTGCTAACTTCCTTGGGTTGACAAACACTCTAATGCATATAAAAGAACAGTAAGGCTTCATATCCTTTAACCTTCAAAAAAGGCATCTCTTCTTTATATTTTTAACAAGGTCAGCCAGTGTAAGTGTGGAGTCATCATATCACTGCATGGATTTCCCTTGTGTTAAAATTGGAATGCTACAACATCAACATACTGTCAGATATTTTCACTTCAAACTTTGACTTTTCCTGCTCTGTTTGTGCCGACACTTTTGTGCCTATAAAACCCTACCTCCTCAGGGCAAACTGCATTATCAAAGAAGCTGCTGTCATTTTGTCATTGACTTTAATGGGTGCAAGACCAGCTCTCAGACAACTCTGCTCTTTTCTCAATAGAGCTCAGTGCACTATGTGAGTATTCAGTAAATAACAGCATAAAATATTCACTTTGAAAAGAAAGCAAAAGCTCTTCAACTGAACAAACAAGTATAATGAAATGGGCTTTCCTGAAAATCTTTGCCTGACCTTGAGCGAGGTAATTGTTTGGCTAAGCAAAAAATATTAACAAATCTCTGCTACTGCAGCTGGGAAATCAGATAGTGCTGGCTAGCTCTTGTGATGATGAGACAAGGGCAACTGTAGATAGCTATACAATAATCCGAGCCCCTCAGGTCTGGCAAAGCTGGCATAGCTACAGGTGAGCTCTTGCATATTCCCCCCGGCCTGGAATGCAACAGGCAACTGCTAGTAGCGGGAGAGGAGCTTCACAGGGCCATACTGAGCTTATTGACTTTGAGAGTAGCAGTCACCCTATATTCAAGAAAACCTAAAAAGCTATTTAAATTTGCTGGGAAATCTGTTAGCTGAAATAATAAGAGATCTCCACTCTAAAGAAAGCCACACATGAAATAGAAGGAGAAGTAAGCAATATGAGCCAAAGGAGAGAGTTTCGATATGCTCTCATGAAGGAAGAAAAAAAAAGGTATTTTTTGGGTTGAAAAGCAAACTTGGAATTGCGAGGGAAAAAAACACCTATTCCTACTGCTTCCCCTTTCTTTGTCCAAAGTGAGTCATTCTATACTCTAAATACCTGAATTGAGCAGAAAAAAGCACCAAGTTTACCACTACCCCCTCCAAGACTGCAAATATTTGCAAGAATTCTACAAGACTTGAAAAGGCAATGAAGAAAGTAAAATCCCTTGCTTTTACTCTATACTTTTGAAGAACCCTGCGTGGGCTCTGATGTGGCAGGCTGTGACCACTCAGGTCAGGTCTGTACTGGTGGAGCAGTTCCAGCAGTGACAGCTCTTCTTCAAGGAGCCCAGGCACTCCCTGCAAGGCACGAGTTGCTGTGTACCTGGGAAATGTGAAAAACATTGGTCTGGCAGAACGAGTACCAATCATTAAAAAGACATGCTTATTCCAGAATAAGTATCTGTGGGGAAGCTATTTTGGAGTAATTTATTCTGCTGTAGCTCATCTGATTAATTTTTTCCTTGTCAACAAGCCATTCAATGTGGGAACTGAGCTGACCTGATTCTCTCACTTAGGCAAGAGGCAAAAGTGGAAATTCTCAGAACTATTAGAATCTGAAGATTTGCTTAGAAAATAAACAGCTAAAAAGGCAACAATTAAATTCTTTACAATTGCTTTCTCTAATAGAATCCTCATTCTTTTTTGCATTGGTCAACAGCTGACGTCTGCCAACAAGCACTTGGCATTCATGCTGTGTACTTAAAGAAAGCAGGCAAAGGGAAAAACGCTTTCCGTTTTCCAAGCAGAATCAGTTGTCATCTGTTCTTTGCAAACTGACCATCTTATAAGCCCATACAGATTCTGCTGATGGTGTTATTTTGGCTTGAATTACACGTATTTGGTTTCATTTCCTTCTCCAGTGTTTCAGGGCTGTGAAAGGGGTGGGTTTCCCACTAGGAAGGGTGTGAAGTCCCGGAAGCCTATCAGAATAACCCAAGGTGGCATTTGAACTAACAGCACAACAAATGGATACAGAGTTTGTATTGAAGATTTTTTAACTATAATAGTTTTAAATAATGCAACTTTTAGCTTTTTTTTTTTTTTTTTTTTTTTTTTTTTCCCCAAACAAACAGAATTTAGGAAGTTGAATCTTCTTCCATAAAAGTGAAATCAATTTCTTACACTTTGCTGAAGTAAAATAATAAAACATCTACTTTGGGGCCAGTTTGGAACTCTTATGCAAAATAAATTGTTTCTTCCACTTAAAGCTCAGTAGTCTTCTGCTTTAATAAAAAAAAACCAAAAACCATATATATATATATCCTACAAATATAAATTCAGAAATCAAACATTTTATTTTGAATAAATCCACATGAAATATTCTATGATTCCTGAGCAGAAGTGTTTGAATAAAAATTATTGAGGACATTTTTTTCCAGTCTTCTCATAGACGTAGCTTGCCTTATTTGGATCTAGTGGCACAGAGAAATGAAGGCTGACTTTCCTCAGCTTAAGCCTCCACTTACACACATTTCATAAATCAGAAATTTCTGACTCCTGCAAAGGTTTTCTTTAGCTATCTTCTTGTCATTTACTACCATAATTCAGCATCATACCCGATAAAAGGAATTAGTAAATGCATGTTTAGATACTGTTCTCAACAAGTCAATCCTATTTAAACAGATTTTTAATCCATGGGAATAACACGGGAAAAAAATATCTCACTTACAAACTCATTCATTTGGAAATAGCAGACACACATAATTTTCAGTACTCAACCAATGGTCACAGTTGTTTGTGCTTTTTTTTTGTGTGTGTATGTGCTAAGTTTTCAGATCAGGAACAAACTATTAAAAAACTTAGCGTGTTAAGAAAACAGCAGGGTTTCTATTAGATCTCAGGAGACAACGGTAAGGAGTATGAACAAACCACTGCAAACAGCAGAAACTGTAATTCATACAGCAGGGGACTCTGTATACTGGAGTTTTTATTGTCAATTACAAACAGTGCATCACAGCATAGGTGTAGGCTAGGATGTATTACAGGGGTGTAAATGACTCTAGTTTGCTATTAGCATTTTCAAATTTATCTGACATAAAAGGCAGTCAGGGACCTTCACAGTGCAGTACAGATTATATAACAAAGTGATTCAGATTTTGGTGAGACAAATTTCAAATTCGAGAGGTAGCAAGAATTACATGTTCACAACTTCCAGGTATTTTGCTTTGTATGCAAAAGGTAATTATAGACCTTTCTTTAAAAAAAAAAAAAGAAAAAAAAAAAAAGTAAATAAACTAGGCAGTCAAAATACTTCTAACATTATTGCTAAAACAGAATCCACAAAGACCAACTTGAGGATAAAAAGTGCTTCATGGCACTCTTAAATAATTTAAGCAACTTCAAAGAGAAGGCAGAGCATGCCAAAACAAGCTGTTCTGTTCTCAGCCTCACCACTCCTCTCTGTGCTGCTGTAGCAGTGCTAGGATGAGGTCTGTTCATTTCCTTGCTGGGAGAAGGATCCTTTCAGGAAGTGTTCAGTAAGGAATAACATTAATGTTTATTGTGTTGGAAGTTTGTGTCAATGGAATCACACAATGTTGTTCAACAAAAAAAGAAAACAACGCATTTTCTTGCTTACACAAGTATTTTGTATTCAATATGATGGAAAAAAATACATAAATGTGATGAAATTAATTCTTTCTCACCTCTTTATCTACTGCAGCCACTGAGGGTTCTGTGTGTGCTGAGTACAGCACACTCTGTAATGTATGGATTATGCAGCAATCTCTCTTCTACATGGAGGAGCACCCTCAGCATCTGCCTAACTTGGGAATGAAGCTATGGACCCTCCTCTTTACTTCCCAGCAATATAACTATTTCCTTATCAGGTTTGAGAGAATGCTTCACAATAACTGTATTTTATATAGTTTGTATTTGAGCACGTAATCTATATTAACAGCTCAAGAAAATACAGTAATGGTTGGAAAACGAA